CAGGGAAGGGGGAGTGGGAAGGAAATCGATTTACGTTTCATTTTTTATCAACCACCTCGGTATCTTGTCAGAGTAACTGGTAAGATCAGATCTTAGAAAAATTCAACACTCAGTTATTTCTACATGGTTTCTCGTTTATTCTATACGGATGCTCTGTTTTATTTTAATTGATAGCTCTTCTGTTCTTGTTAAACTTGTAGATATTGATTAAACAAAGCTTGAATATTTTGTGTGAATGAAGAAAAGGCCACAGTCAGGGGCGAAAAGTCGATAAAGATGTACGTGGTTACTATAACGGGAAATGAGTAGAAACGACTAGAAACAAGAAGAAACAACTAGAAACAAGTAAGAAACAACTAGGAAACAAGAAGAAACAACTAGAAACAAGTAAGAAACAACTAGGAAACAAGTAGAAAACAAGTAAGAAACAACTAGGAAACAAGTAGAAAACAAGTAAGAAACAACTAGGAAACAAGAAGAAACAACTAGAAACAAGTAAGAAACAACTAGGAAACAAGAAGAAACAACTAGAAACAAGTAAGAAACAACTAGGAAACAAGAAGAAACAAGTAGAAACAACTAGGAAACAAGTAAGAAACAAGTAAGAAACAACTAGGAAACAAGTAAGAAACAACTAGGAAACAAGTAAGAAACAAGTAGAAACGACTTGGAAAAATTTTAACTGCGGCACAATTTTAATGATAGTAGATGTTGATATGGTAATTTTGTAAGAGGAATTGACCTATTTCAAGAAGTAGATTTTCAACCTATACAGCTTGTTCCTCTAGTATATTGGAGTTTGTTCCTTTAGTTTCTGTTGCTTTTGCTAAAATTAGCGTTGTAGAAACATAAGTAAGCATTATCACTGGGTTTCCGTAACCTCATCTAAGATAACAGCTTTTGTGGTGGAGAACGACATGACCGAACACTTAGGCCACTGCAACGAAGATGACAATGCCCACGTGGATGGATAAGCTTGCCTCGTTTTGGAGATCTAGTCGTTTCTGAAAAGTCACAAATCGTTTCATGTTGTTTCCTTATCGTTTCTTCTCGTTTGTATTCGTTCTTGTTGTTTCCTGTTGTTTCCTGTTATAGTAAACGCGTAAAGATGTAGCAAATATGAAACACCGCAATACGTCGAGAATAAACAACAATAAATACACGTAAATCAGTAAAGGCTAATATTTCGCCCCTTAAATATATTGCCTCGGATTTTCCTTCAGTCAAAATCCATTTTAGATACAGTCTCTGGCCATTCCCTATAATACAATAATCCTCAAATTTTTCTTGCCACAAACCATGGTGGCGGCCTAACCAAAGCCCTTTCAAGACTTTCATATTAGGCCCCTCCACTTTAAAATACGTTTCACCGGCCCTGATTTATAGAATGCCAAATAGAATCACTAAAAAATTTCAAGAAATCATAAAACAAACTATAAATTACACTCTTTTCTTTTTACAAGAACAATTTTATAAAACACGAGCCTCAAAACTGGTCAAAAGTTAAGAACAAATTAAGAACAAGCTGAGGCTGAGCTACTGTAAAATTCAATTTTGAACACAGTTTTTCTCAAAAACGAGGATTCTTAGCCAGGTGTGGGTGCTTTTTCGGTGAATATTCAAACTTGTCGGCAACTGAAGGTTGTCTCACTCACTTCGTTGGCAAATGAGACCCGAACACTTCCTTAAAGCGAAAACGCTAGCAAGCGCACTGCTTAAACTCTATAAATTATCTATAATCTATAAATTTAAGAACGAATTAAGAACAATGCAGCTTTGGATTTTCGAAAAAATTAAGAACAGTGAGCCTGAACTTAAATTGACTGGTTCTTTGGGTTCTTATAAAAAGAAAAGAGTGTACACAAAGTTTTACATTCAAACCAATTGTTCTTTACTGTGTGGCTCACTACATTTTCTTTGGTAGTGCTAAAGGTGTTAAATAATAGTCAATTTGAGCAATCCTTGGACCACTTATAACAAATTATCCATTCTTGTCTGATAATCCCAAAAAATCCCAATTTTTACGTTGAATCCCAGATAACAATTTCTGATCCCAACAGCTTTTCCACAGTCCCAGTTTTGTGAAATCTGGCATTAAATAATCCCAATTGGCAACCCACTTGCAAATTTTCCGACAATGAATTTGAATTAAAATTATGACGTCATCAAGCGCATGCGCTGTATTTTAAATGCAGAAAGTCATGGCAAACAATATGTGTCTTTTCCAGCATCGACTGATTTCGATAAGTCGATCAGATAAAAGCTAGCATCCGTACTCGAACATTGGATAATCAAAATCATCATTAATCAGTATCTGCGATGAACAGTAAACTCGCAATAGGACTGATAATCAATATCATGAGATTCGAAAGAAACGAAATGGATGTCTTTCAGTGCATGAAAAGCCTCCTTAGCAATGGTCTGTCAAATGTCAGCAAATTTTTAGATTACTTTGTCATAACTAATGTCAAGTAAGTCAAGGTCAACATTTATTTAATCTCATCCTTGAGCTTTAAAAAGGTGCACTCGCACTTAGTAATACCAATTGACAAGCATTCCATTCCTCAGTGACGCATTTACCCATGAGCCCACTGGGCCCAGGCCCAGGGGCCCCCTAAAGGTGGGTTTCCTCTTCACGGTATGGAGGGAAAACGGAAAACGGAATACGGCACAAGCATGCGCAGAAGATAATTTGACATTCAAGAACGGTACGCTTACCGTAGCGCTTGCGTTTTTGAAAGTTGAAATCAAGGCAACTTTTTTCCACGGTATTCGTACCGTTTGACCTCTCAACCAATCATGCTCGAGGCAATGCGTCAGAACTTCAGGTGTGCTTCGAACTGAGACAGTCATTCTGAATTACTTGAAATTATATTATCTATCATCGATGGAAGCAGGCAGAGTTGTAGAGCACCCCTTGTAAATTCCAATAATGAACCCTTTTCAATTTTTGCTATCTTTCTTGAGAGATTTTTTGAGAAGGCCCCTCTTGTATTTTTCATAGCAACGCTTATAATTTCATAGTTCCCAGGGTGGAACTTTCCTTTTTGCCTTTTTCTTGAAACGTGTTTTACCCATATGCTCTTCTCGTATTTCTTTCTCTTTTAACTTTTCAATATTTTTCAAAAGAAAAAGCATCATAAAATTATTTAGTCAAAACATGCCTTCTTTCCCCTTTCTCGGGCATGTTTCATTGCACGAAATGGAAATGGAAAGGAAGCCAAGTGGAAATTGATGGGCGGAAGCTTTCCGAATCGTTTACCGTTTACGGTTTTCCGCTTTCCGTTCCACCTTAAAGTTCTTCGATTTAGGAGCCCCGTGCAAAATTTCAAAAGCCTTTTGAGTGCTCTTGATTTCAATCAACGAATTCAATTTTAAAAATGGAATAAAGGGCGTGGTCAAAAGGGTTTTATTGGGGTTTTAAATCCCACTAAAATCATTGAAAAGTTTTCAGCAGTTGGATAGTTTTATTGGAAATGTACTGAAATGTGAAATGGATACAAGTTTATTCATGTCTTATAGTTGGTTGATTATGTTTGATTATGTTTAGCCAAGTACTGTGCACGTGACACAATTTTTTGGTTTATTTGAAGGGGCCCCAATCAACTTTGGGCCCAGTCCCCCAACAGACTTAAATGCGGCCCTGTCATTCCTGTTGTGCAAATTTGGATAGGCAGACTGTAAAATGAATAACCATGAGTTTTACGGTCTTCAGAAAACTTTTTTCTTTATATCCCCCTTTTTATAGAAATTATACAGATTAGTTCATTAATAGAGAGTGCGGGAAAATAACCCGACCCGAGCGAGGCTCGAACTCACGACCCCTGACTTTAGTTCCTTTGAACTTTCTTGCTTTTCTATGAACTACAAAATTTATTTTGCCAAGCAGATTTTCTGACATTTCTGACGGAAATTTCTGACAAATTGCCGAATGGTAGATGATAGGGGGCACGTGCCCCCTGTCCCCAAGCTACGACATCCCTGTACTTACCAAGACCATAAACCGAGCCATAAACAACCGAGAGAATTTGTTAACGTAAACATTTTTTCGATAATATCACACAATGATGTGATATTATTGAGACATGGCCTTGAATTGAACTACATTTGGTACATTTTATTTTTTTATAACATGCACAAATTTTCATGTGAAATTTTTTAAAAATACTCAGTTGAAAAAGTTTCAAGAAAAATATTCTCGCAGAGTATTACACTCTTTTTTTTATAAGAACAATTTTATAAGAACACGAGCCTCAAAATTTGTCAAAAGTTAAGAACAAATTAAGAACAAGCTGAGGATGAGCTTCTGCAAAATGCAATTTTGAACAACGTTTTTTCTCAGAAACAAGGATTTTTAGCCATGTGTGGGTGCTTTTCGTCGAATATTCAAATTTTTCGGCAAAGGAAGGTTGTCTCACTCCCTTTTTGGCAAATGAGGCCTGAACACCTCCCTTGAGCGAAAAAGCTAGCACTCGCACTGCTTACACCCTATTAGATTAAGAACAAGTTAAGAACAATCCAGCCTGAACTGAATTTACTGGTTCTTATAAAAAAAGAGTGTATTAAAGAGAAAAAAATCAGATTACCGAAACCAAGGAACAATTCACTCCATGAAAATCTCGTAACCAAAGTACTTTTCACACCGTTGATTGAAATTCTATTTGAAGATCCGTTTTATCTGAAGATCAATGAAAATCCACTTTTTTTTGAAAAACTCGTAAGCCGTTTACAAGAGTAAATTGCCCCCTTGACAGAAACTATTGCTAAAAGACCGAAATCACTTTTCTAATCTCCGTCTCTCTATATTACTGTGCATTCTTTGTCATTTTTCTCATTCTTTCATTCTAATTTCAATCATTTTTTTAACTATTACAGGGAATATAATCTGTCTCTATAATTCTTTCATATCTCAGAGAGAACTGAGAACTGGAGCGCAAAAGTTACTGCGAGTCATCAACTGGAAACAACGACTTCCTTGTAGTCAATGCTTGTAGTGTACCCCCTGATCAAAACCGGAAGTCTGCAACACACTGTCAACATACGTCAATTGTTTCTTCTACAAATTTTCCAACGCTTCAACTTTGCCATCCGTTCTCGCTAACGTGCAAAGATGGAGGGCAACAGACTGATCTTGGCGGTGCTGTCTTGCATATGGTGAGTCTGTGTTCTATTGAACTACTTGAAATAGAAATTTAGTACCTGATTATAGCTGCTTTACAAATGATTTCTCTTCAAACATGGTTAGCAAAGTTCATGGTTATGTCAATCGAATTACGTAGTTGAAGACGATTCCTTGAAAAACAACTCTGAAATGAGAGAATCTAGTACACGGTGGTCGTTAAAATTTCAGTACCAACACAAAGTAAATCCACTAGATTAAAGGAAGTATTAAAGAAAGCTTTGTTAGCCCGTGGTGGTGTCACAAAGAGAGCTCGCATGTCTCTCCGAAGATTTATCTTCACGCCCCCGACAGTGATCAGCTACGCCTGGTATAGCCTGTTCTTATTGTAATTTTGGATTTAATAATTGATTTTTGAACAACTTACTTAAATGAAGTAACGTGTAATTAATTGATTTGCTGAAATGTTTTTTTTGACATTAATTATTGATTTTGACTTCATAAGTATTGATTTTGTTCAAAGGGCTAAACAGCCTGCCATTTGTCTTCGGAGGCTCGCGTGAGGGGACTGATCAAAAAAGACTTTGTCCAATTGGAGCAAGTTTTTTTGGGAGAATCTTAAAAGCAGAAAGTTTGAGGAGTTTTTTTCTGATAAGATAATTCTTATTGTGTATGATTATGCTTCACAGAGTTTCTTTTAAACAAAAATGTTAAGTCGATAGTTGATTTTTCTCTCGAGTAAGGTTTGCGGCTTGGAGCCCAGGTCTAGGCCGCCACTCTCGAATCCCTAAAAGTGGAACAATATGTGGGGCTATGTTTCAGTCGGGCCAGGATTTCTAAGAAATTTGTCGCAGAACCCTTTTTTAAAAGGGTTTACCAGTTTTGCGTTAAGTTGTTTTCTTATAGTTACGTCGACAGTTCCTTTGCCCACAGATAAAGATACAATACTCCTTTTCGATAAGCAATTTTACTTTATTAAGCAATAGATAGGAGATCAATTAAAAATATAATCCTATTCTAGATGTAAAGAGTTTATGCCAAAAAGTTAACTGCAATTAAGGTCAGTCAATGTTCGACAAAACCAGTTGGTGTCCAGTGCAGAGCCTGGCACGAAGCTTGTATTTTGATTTCACCATTATTGTTCGAATAATGTGAAATACATCACAGTGTTTAGCGATTCAAAGAGAATAAAAAGGCTATTTCTTCAGCGTGCAGAAAAACAAAATAAAATCGCCTGTAACGGTACAGTTGTTTTCCAAAACATATTTGTCGGGCTGTGGAAATTCAAGGCTGGCCACAAGCCCATATCCGAGAGGTGACCCTCTGGCGCTTTGCAGAGGTGTACCTTGACCTTCCGGAATAGGGGCATGGAGAGTTAAATCTAACGACGAAGACATACATGAAAAAAATTTAAATTTGGTCACCTTTCGATAAGTAAAGTAATTTTACTGACCAGCTAAAGATTTTGCCGACCAACTGAAGATTTACCGACCACGTCGCGAAGGTTTGAGGGGGTCTCACATTCCTGCACTCCTTGCCAGCTACGCCTCTGAAGCTTTGAGATCGAGCGTCCAATTTTTCCACGGTAATCTATGGTTTAATCATAGAGATTATCTCTATGGGTTTAATACACCAATTCGACTTACGGCCTCATTTTGAAAATTTCTCCTAACCCAATTATACGACTTTCTAAAGCTCAGATTTGGTTTTATCACAATAATTTTAGGCCGGATACAATTTTACATATTGTTTGTGCTTGTATTTTAGATTTTACGGAGAAATAAATTTTGAAAACTTGTAAGGGATTTGACCGCAAAAAATCATTCGGGGGGAAACTTTACACCCCTAGTCGCCAATCACGGTCAAATCCCTTATATGATCTTTTTGTCGTCATAAAATCAATATCGTGAGCAATACAATAATGAAAACTTCAAAGTATACTAAAATCATTGCTCGCTATCCGAATTTGAGGTCAAAAATTTTGTGCAAAATAATTTGAAATTTTTTTCAAAATGAGGCCGTAAGTCGAATTGGTCTATAGGGTGACGTCACCCCGAAACTGCCCGACTGAGGTGAATAAAATCTGCAAATACGATTTCCTTTTATCAGTAAAAAAGTTTTTGCTGCCATAGTCATGCTTTACCAAATTTATGCCTGTTAAATGTGTTTTGTGATCGATAAATGCTGTGCTTTTAACATTCTTTTTTGTCACAGCCTACGTGCCTTAAAAATAATTGTTCAATTGATGCGCTGCGAAAACCTAGTCCTTCTTAAAGAACGTCATGGCATTTTAAGCACTGAATACTGAACTAATTACTCTTTGCAAAATCTGTAATGGTCAAACGTCGTTCGATTAAGGTTTTGCAGTCTGCACAAAAGACTGCTTCTGAGGGAGAGGCTGTTCCAAGAAAACAGTTCTGTTGTAAATCCTAGTTTGAGGTGACTCAGTGAAATCAGATTTGATTTCTCAGAGCCTCTGCTCAACATCGAGATCGTAGTGCATACCAAAGCTTATTGCGTTTTAACTAAAGGTAGAATGCACTCATTTTTATAAGAAACAACGGTCGAGATTTTGTACTCCAGTTTCTTAATGTTCTGGAAATTTCAATACTCACTGTTTCTTGAGAGTTTCTTAATTATGATGTCATGAATGATATTATGAAATGTTTGTGACCGTTTTTCTCATGTCAAGAGATTCGCTTCCGTTCCGATGTTGTATTTAGATGTGGAAAGTATACCTTTATCGCTTGTGTCTTAACTTCTAGGCCAACAGGGCAATTTTGTTCTTGGATTTTACAAAATTTCGTTGTTCTCAATTTTATCACGATTTAATAGTTTCTTAATTTTTTTGCTTCGAGTGCTGAAGTTTCTTAATTTTTTCTGACTGTCCAGTACTCGTTTCTTATAGCCAGTTTCCTATAAAAGAATGAGTGTATACAACACAGATTGTCCAATAAACTGAACATTCTCCATTCGATAAGAAATACTTGGGAAGTTGTTCGTCGCTTGAAGGGGCCAGCTCCCATGCTGGTCATGTTTGCTGAGTGTAGTATTATCACTATCACGAGCTCAAATTATTGTCATAGTCAATGCTTTTAGTAAGTTGGTATTGATTGTTACTGTCTTCTGTTCACTGAAGAAGTATCCTTGCATCCTCCTTGCGTGTAATTTTGTAACTTCAATTTTTCTTTCTCGTGATAAATAAGCCAGTGCTTGCGACATATCGCCATGTGATACTGTCTTTAGTGACAAGCGTTTTATGAATTTGCGAGGTACACCACAGAACAGTATGCGAGATTGCTTCTGTCAAGACTGTAGCAGAGCACATTTCTAATTAGGGCAGGGGGATGGGAACTGTAGCAGAGCACATTTCTAATTAGGACAGGGGGATGGGAGGGGTTTTTGCTCTCGACAAGTTGGCAAACTTTTACGGCAGTTTGCCACCATTACACATTTTTTTTATAAAGAAGTATTTTATAAAAAAATTGTGCTCGGTTCTTCATAAAGTCAAGAAAGTTCAGAACTGGATCTTTAAAACCTAAGAAAATTGAAAAATTTATATATTCAAAGTTTCAAAGGAAGTTGTGGTGTAAGAGTGAAATATTTAAAAAATACAGTAATGTGCTGAACAGGAAACGACAAATACAGTATGACGTTGAGGGTTTTTAAGAAATATAGCATATTTATAGCATTTCATCTTCTCTATCACTGCGCATGTTTCGTAACGTAAAACTTTCCAATGTTACATTAAGAAAGTGTGAGAAAGTTTTAGAGCTGAAATTAGGAAATAGCTAAAAAATTCTGAGGGCTGTGCTAAAAAAAATTTTATATAAAAAACGTGTATCTTTGGTGCCACAAACTTGATGTGATACTTCAGCAAGAAAAAGGGGTTTGGGGGCTCCGGCGTGCTACAGCCCATCAAATCTCCCGGCTCCGGCGGGCCTGCATGAAATCGTTTCTTTGCAAGACGTCTAGATATTCATAGGCAACCATGATGATGGGAATGCCACGGAAAATTAAGCTCCCGTTTTGAGGCTTAAAAGCGATACCTTGTGTATAATGATAGTTGGCTTTGAAGACCAAAGTTTCAAAGGAATGAAAATTCTGTGGTTTCCTTCATGTCTAAAAGATCACACTGGGGTGAAACTGTCTATTTGAATTGTATATCAACGAATTTTAATTTTTGTTTTTACGAATTCATCATCATACCTTTGTTAAACCCATCTACATTACGTTTTTAATAAGATACCACTTATTAGAAAATTTAGTATATTGTTTTTATAGATTAGAAGTAAGCTTATTAATTCCGGTTTGTAACCCAGTCGTAAGAGTTTTTAGTGTTTTTCAAATTCTTTAAAAGGATAATCTGCACAAACTATTGGTTTTAAAGCTCATCCCACCAAATTTGCAGCCTTTAATTTTCTTTCATATCAGGGCCCGCGCCACCGGGGGGACGGGGGGTCCTGCCCCCCCCCCCACTTTTTTGCGAAGCAAGTAGTTTTAAAGCTGCAATAACAGGGGTAAGAAACCTTGCCCCCCTACATTTTTAGCCTTAGCCCCCCAGATTCAAATTCGTGGCGCAGGCCCTGCATATTGTCCAAAGTGATGAGCTATAGACTGGAGCCCATTTACTATATGATTGATGTCCATGTAATAAGCCACACCCCTAATCAAAGTTGTGTGTTTTCTCAAAAGCATCATCGCAAGCGGCAAGAAAATTTTCAACACTGGTACGGAATGTTTCAAACCAAGTGCAGCAAGACTTGTGCACTGCAATTGGTGAGTTTCTTTGATATTTCCTGCATTTTATTTGTATCTAATAGGATGAAGTGCTTTTTCTTTTTCTATGGGCACGTCGTTTTCAAGGCAGCTACCAAAGTGGCATCTTTAACCAAGTATTTACCAAATAATGCGTGTGTGAGTGCTATTATGTAGTCGGGTTTTCTATTTCTCTTGATTGCGAATTTACGAAACCTTTTCTTCTTGTGTCTGTCGATTGTCTTAAACTGTTGCCCAGAAGAGCATCGTCTGTTGCCTTGGTTGTTTTTGGGTGTGACATCAAATGCTTGTCTTCTGTTATCACTTACAGAAAGATTTCTCCCAGCAAACTTCGTGAGACCACGCCCTTGTAAACGTTGACAAGTGCCCTACAGTATAACCTCGACTTGCTTCCCCGCTGTATAAGTGTCCTCGAATTACTGATTTGAATTGTGCTATTTTCCGACCTAACAAAACTGATTTAGCTGTTCTGTCTCCTTGAAGGCATTACCTGGCTTACATGCCACGCGTACTAAGAGCCGGAGTCGCAGAAAAAGTGCTAGTCACCACACAGAATGTTGATTTTGATGTGACCGTGGAAGCCAAATTGCTGAGCACCCGCTCCAACGACCTCATTGTTGCAGGAAAAAGTGTTGTTAAGCCAGGTAAGCATTATTTTGTCGCCAGCGTGGTTACATTAAATTATTATTTTAACTCTTTGTGTGCCCTTGTGGTGCTAAAAACTACCAAATGTACCGATGTAGATGAGGGGTGTCAGATCAAAGTACTCATTTGCAATACTCCGCTATGTAGTTAGGGCCAATATTTCTAGATGAGGTCACAGACGTTCAGTTTACTCTAGTATCAACAAACTAACCACGTAGATGACAAAAGTTCTCAATTCAAATGCATAAAATCGTAAGCATACAAATACAGAGTATGTTTTTATACTCTCTTGTTCGTCTACCTCAGCTGATTGATTGATCTATCAATGAGTGCGTCATATGTTCTCTAATTTATTTTCTTTCTATTGTAGGTGTATTAACTGAGATCGTCATCAAGGTAAGTGGCAAACATATTCTTTGTGTTAGGGTAATTTTGAAATTTCTTAAGTGCCAAACAAACACCAGAACCTTTCGAAGCCACTTTGATAATTCATCCACTGTTATTTCAGAAAGGTGTTTATCACACCTCCTAATATTTGGTCCTTGTTTTGGAAGCACTCTTTTGAAAAACCAAAGAAAATTAGGTGGAGTTTGTGTGTGGCTATTTTTTTGGTTTCATTGGCCACCTCATGGTTATTTATCATTTGGCCGCAAAGTTTTTTTGCTCTCTTTATGAGACATGTTCACAAACAGTACAAAAGAGCTTTTCAATTTTCAATGTCAATAATTACATGTATGAAGATTGTCAATATTAGGCTCCGAACAATATTAATCAATATTAGGCTTTGAACAATATTAGTCAATATTAGCCTTCAAATAATTCACAGGTCTTTGCATAGGAATTATAACGGACAGAATGCTCAACTTTATGTTTCCATTATGAATATCAAAGATATGTAGGTTTTCTGAGAAACGCCTTTATATATATAGATATATTTATATAGATATACAAAGTAAACGATTGGCATCCATGTAAGAAAATCTTCAATGGTGGCTTATATTATCAACAATTTATAATGGAGACAGTATACTTATTAAAGCATGTCAAAGTTATGTAAATTCAATTTTCTGGCTTCTCTCCTTACAATGCCTGCACTGCTGCTTTGTGCCTTCTTTATTGAGATGAAAGTCCTCCTACATATTCGTACCAATGACAACCCTCAGAAGATTCTATCACCCGACACTTAGGCCATAACAAGTCTGTTGTCTGGAATTGTTATAAGGGACCCCGAAGCAACCCTACCCCGAAGCAGAACGGCTCTTTTTGTTCTTATAATGTTGTTCAAACAACTAATACTTGAGATACCACGGGCTATACAGGGCGTTTTCTGCTCTTGCACAGATCCCTAGCAGTGCACCAAGCTGGGCCATTGTACAAATTGAAGGCAGAGCTGATGTCCCAGCTGGCACCGATGGACTTGCGGAAGATGCCATATGGACCTTTAAAAACAAAACTGGATCGATCAACATACAGAGATCGAGCACAACAGTTTTTATTCAAACTGACCGACCCATCTACAAGCCTGGAGAGTCTAGTAAGATATCTTTATATAGGCTGATTTTGTCGTGAATATGGTATGTGTATCTTTAGTTAAAGCGTAAGCCGATATTGAATACTAACATATTGAAGAGATAGCACGGCGAAACGGTGACATAGCATACTTAACAGAGACATGGCATATTGGTAAACCTAGTATTATATTGGTATGATATTTTCTACTTGTACTCGTAATATTATAAGGTTGCAAGAGACATATTATAATTTAGGGCCATTCAGCTGTCACTTTCTTTGCCCCCTTTATCCCAAGGAGGCGTTGTTTAGAGGCCCCGTTGTTAGAAGTACAACCCCAAACCGATCGTCTTTATCGCCTACGCATTCATAGTTGAGTACAAAATATCTTAATCATGAGACTTTTTTAGCAATTTAAATCGTGTGTGTACGATTAATATTTTGGCACTCTGAGCAACAGAAAGGCAATATTTTGCATTTTTGCCTTGCTTTGTAGTGAAAATGAGAGTTGTAGCCGTGGACAGTGATTTGAAGCCACTCGAAGGAATAGTAAGTCGCCCTAAACTCTACATTGCAATTGTTAAAATCGTGAAATATTTACAAGGCGTAGCCCAGTCGACAGGAAGTAATACTAAAACGTGAATTTGGCTTTTAATAGAGCTCGAGCATACGTTGCTACCATTCTCATTTAGGCGACTTCTTCAAATTCTTTGTTACTCTTTCAGTGTGTTTGAGTTCAAAACTGAGAGATATTCGGTACCGTAGGAAAAAATGAGTTATGGGAGGGGTGGAAATTATATGAAAACCATAGAAACAAAAGAGTAACTAAGGATTTCGTTATTTTCCTGGGGGCACAAGCCCCCCCTTCCTGAGAACAATAGTTAGCTATATCAGCAGCCCTGATCTTATTTGCATAATTATTGAAGTTGTTTAGAAAAAATTACACATTGATTTTCGCATTTTTATAGCCAATAAACATATTCTGATGGATCTTTTGATTTTTTCTAAAAAAACATAAAAAGAACGATCTTTTCTTATAAGAGCATTTCTGTCCCTAGCTCTTCCATGGATTTCCTAAGCACCAAGACTATTTTAGCAAATCGTTTTGCTGGCTTTTTCTGTGTTCCTATCTGTTGTCTTAACATTACCTTTGTTGAAATAACTGTATTTTATAATTAGATATATAAAAGGATATCATTAAAATATTTTCTAGTTTAAAGATTAGAAGGTAGCATTTAAAGATTATCTAGTTTATATGCCATCTTTTCATGCCTAATTTTCATTAATTTCTAACATTAATTGGTTAAGACGCTCATTACAAATCTTTTTCGTTTTTGTAGATTTCTATCGTGTCTATCTTGGTGAGTATATACCTAATCTTTCCATAACCGTCAACTGCTTTGAATTTCTGTGATCAGAAATAACATTAATTTTTGGAATTGTTGATGGATTAAAATACGAATGCTCTTTCTTGCAAAGAGTTGTTTAAAGATTGCAGGAGGGTGTGAGTGTGCTGCTATGAATAATGACTAAAGGGTCCTATGAAAAAAGAGGCTTCAGTCCCATTGAGCCCTCTTGAAACCCCTTCAGCACCCCTGAGCACCTTTGAACCCTCGTTGAGCCCCATAGAGCGTCTTTGAACCTCCTTGAGCACCCCTGAGCGCCTTTGAACTTCGTTGACCCCCTTGAGGCCCTTTGAGCACGCTTGAGCCCTCTTGCTCTCCCTTCAGCATCCCTGAGCGCTTTTGAACCCCCTTGAGCACCCGTGAGCCCCATTGAGCCCTTCTGAACCCCCTTGAGCTCGCTTGAGCACCCTTGAGCCTCCTAAGCGCTAGAACCCTTGTATCTGGCTGTTCTAATCATCTTCAAATAACATTTCTAAATGACTATTCTGCTTTGATGCAATTCAGCTGTTTTTCTATAATGAATTGCGTTGGGCTAACACAACCTTTTTGCTTTAGAACCCATCACAATCACTCATGAGACAGTGGAGGCAGGTTAAACTGTACAACGGTGAGTGAGCGGAGTAGTTTTATTACACCTTGTAAAAGCCAGTAAATCCGTAGTAATAGATGTCCCCAATTATTTAGTAGTTTACACACTTGGTCTACAGAACAGGACGGTTCTGGGTTACTACTCCGTGTTTTACGCTTAATGCGATCATCCTATACTGCATCAAGCACTTTCAGATAGACCGGTAAACGGTGATTTCTTTTAGTAGCTTATGCTATTAAACCGAATATTCGACTAAATTGTGTACTCCGTACATCTAGATAGGACTGAATGATACCTCTGCTGACTTTCTTTTTCATTTCTAGTGTTGTTTAACTTTTGGCTCTTTTGAGAGCACTGTTCTTGAATTCTATCAAAGGCCTAGTAACCCTTCAGAACTGAAAGAGATTGTACGATAGGACAAGCTTGACTTTAATGTAGTTGAATGCAACTTGATAGTATGTAGACCATTTGAATTGTAGGAAACTTCCACAAGGTTGCACCTATGACCTTGGCCTTCATATTTTCACGTCTATTTGTATCGTTGCAGAGGCTTCTGACCTGGAACATATAACCCGCTATATTTCAATCTTTTCATAGACAAAACACACTGGATTGTCGTTTTATACGTAAAATAAGACCGATTAGGCATTTTTGTTAATTTTATCATTGCTTTGGTCAAGGTTTTATTAGTTAAAGCTATTTATGCAAACTGTATTTCATTTTCACAGGTGTCGCCAGCTTCAAACTTAAACTATCGATCAAACCAGTTCTTGGCATCTGGAAAATACAAGCTACTGTGAAAGTTAGTATCTGCCGAGTTTTACGTCCAGCTTCTATTTAAATTAAGTCTCAAACTTTCTGGTATTATTCGGGTTAGGTGCTAGGCTTCCTGAAGACCTGTTAAATAATTTGAGCCCCACTCTCTCCCCCTACAAGTCTACGATATTCATATGGTTCTGCTAGTGCTCTTGATTGGCTACGAAGTATCTGATAGATATGCCAAATTCTTGAAATGTCGTTCAAAGAAAACCTAAGGTTACGCTGAAATATCATGCTTAAGCAAGGTGCATAGATTTCTTCTTTTCCACAAATCCACATTCAATGACTCAAAAACCAATGGATGCATTGTTTGATGCCAATTCAATATGTGTCTGACATGACAGGCTGAGGGCCCACAAAACACAATTTCTAGCTTTGGCATCCTCTGTTTTAGACACTTTCTTAAAATAGAAGTATTCTTTGTCATAGGGTGTTACCAAGACTGTACAAGTCAAAGTTGAAAAGTATGGTATGTATATTTTAAGTATGTACAGCAAAGGTTCCTGACAATTGGTAATCCATTCATTTATGACGGTCATGTTAAGGCCCCTATACCATGGAATGTTACTTTGTGATACTGCTTAACGCTAAGCAGTAATCCTTGGACATATCGCAAACAACACTTCAATTAAAATTCACAATGATGAATTGAGCTTTTTCATTCATCGTAATTTTGCTTCAGTCAAACGTCATTTATGAGTCCTGAGAATAGCTGACTAAAAAAGTTACATTGTCTATTTGGCTCTATTCATAGTTAATGGTCTTTGCTGTATTTTCAGTGCTGCCAAAGTTCCAAGTCATATTAAAACCACCACCCTACATAGCACTGGGACAAGAAAAAGTGTACGCCGAAGTTTGTGCCAAGTAAGTATGCAACTAATTCATCTATTGCTACAGACAGTATTTCCTGGCTTGCAATGTTTATGAAGCTGTCAGTTTTAAAAAGGCCAAGGCTGACATATGCCTTGCAGGGGCGGACACTTGGTCAAATATTGGGGGGGGGGGGTGCTGGAGCCTATTGTTTTGATAAAGTCAGGTCATTGTTTTAGAACAGAAGACCATTAACATCCATGATGTTCGGGGGACTAACGACCGCCTCCAGGTGTCCGCTACTGATGCCTTGCTTTAGCACTTTCTTCTATTAAAAAACCAGGGTATTTATGTAGGAATGTGTATTCTGTTTTTATGTGGACTAGACGAATCGCTGCTAATAAGTTCCAGGTGTTTGAATGAAGTGATGCTGATAAAGATACCGTAGACGCCCTTTTAGTTAGTCACCATTTCTTCTAACAACCTCCGTCTTTTTAAGGATCAAGTAGTACCATCAGAATTTACACAAGCTATCCAGGGGGTTGAATAGTGCTTTTTCAGTACGGTCATTCTATTAATTCAGTTCTTACTTGGTTTGAAAATGGAAGCTTTCAAGAGATGTTAATGAAAACATTTTTATCAAGGTATTCCTATGGCAAGAATGTTGCTGGTTTGATTGCGGTAGAAATCTGCGCAAAGTTTCCTGGCCATTATAATAGGGTATGGAAGAAAGCCACTTCCACCTGTGTCGTGGTGCTCAGAAAGGTAAACACGGTTGTTGTTGTTGTTTTTGAAGTCTTTGAATACAACTTCAATTACTGTAAATCTTCGAGTTAGCTCCCTGGGGGCTTATTCATTTTTATATTTTTGGATGGGAGCTTATACGAGGGGGGGGGCTAATACGAGAGGGGGCTTACAAAATTATTGTTTACATTAATAAAAGACCTCGTTTATTTTAGAAGGAATTTCTATATGAGCAATTAATCAATTATTACCAAAAGTGTGAATTTTTGAAGTAATCCAATACAACGCCAAAGGTAACCTCAGATGGCAAAATCATCTAATTGAGGGGGGCCTATTCGGGGGGCCTATTCGGGGGAGGGGGCTTTTTCGAGAGGGGAAAAAGAGTATTTACGGTATATCAATTCCTCTTGGATATGTGATAAGATAGGTGGGCCTATATAGAGATTGTTAGTGATGACAATCTATTTTTAGATTTTTTAAAATTTTGTTCAATTAAACTGAAAGAGTAATACTGTAGAAGAAAGTTCTAAATTATGATAAGACTTTTGACTGATGCAGAGTTAGGGACTTGAACAACTTTCTTTATCAAATCATTGTAAATTGGTCTTGGTTTTAACTCTATCAACCAAGCGAAAGCTGCAGTAATCCTAAGTCGTTACATAGTAACATCTCTGTCAATATGGACTAGATCTTACAGAATTTGCACATCAAGAATCACTTCTATTTTCAAAGTGTTTTCAGACGTTATGGTAAAAATTCCAAAATGAAATTCTACTTCACGATATCCTACTTTTGAATTCTCAGCTATGCAGACTCCTTTAATTGTTATTGGCAGATATTCAAATATATTCCGACAAGTATTCGAAAAAAGTGGGGGCGGGGGGTGAAAGATTATCCCATCTGACATTCGACTGTGTATATAATTGCGTTAAGATGTTGGAAAGTATGAAAGCAGGTTAAGGAGAAGATCATTTAAAGCATTGACAGAAAATACTCTATTTTTATGACTAAACGAATATGCTACACCCTCGTGTGTTTTAAGAATACTTTGATACCTAGTTAAGTGGGAAGTAACTATCATTGTAAATAAGTAAATAAAGATTAGGGTTAGGGTAAGGGTTACGGTTAGGGTTAGGGTTAGGGTTAGGGTTAGGGTTAGGGTTAGGGTTAGGGTTAGGGTTAGGGTTAGGGTTTGGTTAGGGTTAGGGTTAGTAACTGAGAGATATTGGGAGTAACTCTCAATCTATGAGACAGTTTATTATGTAAAATATTTATTACAGTTTATTATATAAAATAGGTTTTTTAGATGATTATACCTTTAAAATTTTTTTCAACATTGAACCTAACATTCATTTTATGCTAATTCTTCATAGATAGTAGGCCTTAATAAGCTTTTTTATAGCTATTAGATTTTCTTCTAGTACGCGAACTGTAAACAATTATTTTTTCTATGCTTTATTTTAGGTTTTTGGATGCGAGCAGATTGAAGTGAACCTCAACGAATTCAAGGTTTACCAGTATAGTGGATATAGTTCAATAACGTTCTCTTTTGCGGCATCTGTAACAGAAACAGCAACTGGTATTCAGTATAATGCAACAAAAGTCAAGTCCAAAGTCGAAAACACAAACGTCAAGCTGTCCTTCGATGGCACACCAGAAATTTTCAAGCCTGGTCTTCCTTTTCAAGCGATGGTATGTACTTCCACACTACACAATATGCATGTCTGTGTATAAATATACTCAGAAGCCAAGCTGTTATTCAGAGAAAAGCCTTTGTTTTGACATTCCAATACTCATTTTTTATAACTATTTTGACTTGAAGGTTGATCTAGTGAAGCAAATTATCAAATTTGTTTTTATTTTTGTTTGAGAAAATTTTTTAAAAGGGCTTGGCATGTATATTCTGAATCCAGGAATTTTATGATCCGATGGCAGCGCATATTTTAAATTATCTACCCCTGACGTGAGAGACAGCCTTGTGAGATCAGCGATTACAATCTTTGGTGTGCGCTGCAAACACATAGTCATCAACATTTGAAATTTGAATTGGTTCTTAGCTTGATACTTTTGCTGTTAATCTTCTTGAATAATGCATTGCTAAAGAGGTAATGAAGCAGAATTTTTTAGCAGAATGATCTGAGCAATGTAGCAAGTTGATGAGAAGGTCATGATCTACAAAAAACTACGAAGATTTATTCACCAAATACTTTGAGTCACTAAAGTCATTCCCATGCAATATGTAACAGGACCTTTTTTGAAGGCAATACAGAGAATCGGTGCTTGCAGTGCGATTATGTCAGAAACCAAAGAATGCTACTTAAATCTTTAATTGGAGGTTCTTTTTATGCCAGTCTATTCATTCAGTTGTCACTGCAACTGCCAAGCCGATTTAAATCTTACTTCAGCCCTGTACTGCCCGCAGTTTTTGTTCTTGTTTTGCAATCTGAATATTGTATATTTTCTAGCTTCAAGCCACTCGTCCAGATGGTTCTCCAATTGACAACCTCAAAGTCAAGCTAAAAGTGACCGCAGGATGGTCCAAAGTAATCACTGAGGGGATAGTATTTGTAAAGAACGGAAGAGTAAAAATACACCTTCCTGAAATTCCATTCGATGCGAAAGAAGTCAAATTCCGGGTATGAACTGTTTTTCTTAATCTCTCTAATGGTCATTCTTATGTTTATCCATAGCACTAACTTTAATTTTCTTTGCACTTTTTCTCAACCATGTTCACTTTATCGTGGCTTGGATTTACGCAATATTTTTTAGAATTCTGATATCAACGTTAAATGGTTTTTTTGTGGTTAGATAAATTAAATGAAATTTGCCATAGAAACTTTGTTGCTTACCTGTAAGTGCAATACTAAAACTAGCCTCCAAAGACGTAGTATATAGAAGTAGCAGTATTTAGTTTTTGCCTGGTTCATTATCGAACTGGTTTGATATTTAAACCCTGTTTTCATATGGCCAGATCTCAGCAAATTTTGTAGCATATTTAGGTATATTTCATTGTGCTCTCTCAGGTGATAAGGTTGAAGGTCAAAAGTAGATTTTTGTGACGTAATCTTTTTAGAATACCTCTAAGTAACGTGTATTCTACACCCGTGGTTAACATTTATACTGGCATAAAGTTTTGCGCCTTTTTTACCTGTAAACCGTTCGTATCACAATCTGTAACGAAAAATGAGCAACAATATGACGAGTAACGAGAAATGTAAATAGTAATGAGGATCATTAACGAAATAGACCATGACTATTCTGTTTTGGCAGGCATCTTACAAAAGGCCAAAAATTGTGGGTAGTCACATCCAAGATTACAAAAGGCATAGCGATGCCTATCATACTTCCAAAGCTTGGTACTCTCCCTCTCACAGCTACCTAAGCATCGAAAAACCGAACACAATATTCAAGGTAACAGATTGTTTCATGTTTAAAGAAATCGTTGATATTGCCTTTGGAACAGCTGCTGCTTGTTTGTTTTGTTTCATAAAATAATGATCTGTAATTCATCGAAGTTTTCTTATATTATATATATCCCTATATTATATATACTAGGAATTTCCCTTTTTGACATTTTTATCCAGAGAATCTATTGAGATACAGCAGTTCTGGAATGTTTATATACACTTCATACTCCCCGACACAGTATAGATAAGGGTTTATTGCTTATCACGTTTATTGCTTAGTCTAACATTTAGGAAGTAAATTTTGTTATAGGCATAATGTTTTTTCTGTTGTTGAAGGTTGGTCGTGAAGCAACTGTGAAGGTTCAATACACGTCAGTTGATACAAAGCCCGTGGAGCGTAATGTTTACTATACAGTGAGTTTAACAATAATTGATCTCTTTTAGTAACTTAGCTGCTCTGAAAATAAATGACTTTTTGTAGGCTGTATATCTATCTTGAAAGTATTGATACGTGCATTACGTCCTGTTTCACTGCAACATTTCATTATTACATGTTTAGAAAATTAGGCAAGCAAAATTTATCTTCCTTCATACCCGAAGATGATTCTTAATACGTTAAACCTGCCTCAGTCTTTGATGACAGTAGATCAAATGTTTCTCCACCGATGTTGGTAAATTGATCCAGCGAAATCATTCTCGTCATTATGTTCTCAGAGTGTTTCCCTATTATTGATTGACATATACACAACGTCGTTTTTGCTTTGTAGTTGATGTGCAAAGGTTATGCCGCTCATTCAGGAATGGTCAAAACAGAGTTCATTGCTGCCAGCTCTAGAGCTAGAAGATCAGTCGATATTGATGTCGCGACAAAGGAATCAGTTCCTATGCCAGAGCCAACGTCTTCCGGTCCAGAGCCAACGACTGTCGATCCAGAACCAGCGACTGCCGATCTAGAACCAGCGACTGCCGATCTAGAACCACCAACGACCTCCGGTCCAGAACCAACGACTTCCGGTCCAGAACCAATGACTGCCGGTCCAGAACCAATGACTGCCGATCTAAAACCACCAACGACTGCCGATCTAGAACCACCAACGACTGCCGATCTAGAACCACCAACGACTGCTGATCTAGAACCACCAACGACCTCCGGTCCAGAACCAATGACTTCCGGTCCAGAACCAACGACTGCCGGTCCAGAGCCAAAGACTTCCCGTCCTACGCCAAAGACAGTTCCACGAACAACAGAAGAAACAACCACCCCTCCCAAGCCGACAACCATACTGCCTTGGTGGTGGGAAAGAAAATTAGAGCGAGTAACTAGGCCACCACTTCCAGCATCGTTTTCTAGCGGCTCATTTGATATTAGCTTCAAAGTAAGGCAAGAAATGTCACCATCTTGCAGAATGCTTGTTTACTATGTAAGAGGCCGTGAAACCGTGGCTGATAGTACCATTGTGGATGTTGCTGACACTTTTGCGAATAAGGTAGGTTCTAACGATCTGTTAATTTCTATTGTCTAATGAGGATTCTTAAAGGCATTTGACATGCATAAGTACAGCGAATCCAAAAATAACTTCGGCCAAATTGATCAGAGCACGCGCACAAGAAAGGTATCTAAAGCCGCTCACATGAAACCACTGCGCGCTGCTCTAGGATTTCACCGATTTGCAAAAAGGCGGAAACTGTTCACATGTTTTTCTCTGTGCGCAATTTGATTGGTCAACCGCTTGTGGTTGAGTGGCTGTAAGCTACTTTTACTTGTGTCAAATGTCTTTAATCTTCATGGTTTCGAAGGGGATGTATTTGGTTATTGTGATATTGCATTCAAGTGATAGAGATTGTGGAGTTCATTGCTTTTTTGTAATTGCTAGGTTACAATGAAATTCAGTGAAGAGGAGGTTCTCCCAGGAACAAAAGTTCAGCTGTCCCTGAAGGCCTCACCAGGCTCTATCTTTGCTATATCTGCTGTGGACAAGAGCGTTCACTTCCTCGCAAATGCAAATGAGGTCAAAACAAGTCAGGTATGAGGTCAAAGTACTAGCGATTTTAAATTTAATCCAAAGGTTGCAGTAAATCCAAAACTTCTTGAACCAGTGACAGTTGCTAAGTCAGTTAGGGGGATATTTTTCGGTCTTTGGTTCCGAAATCTTTCATTGTTCACTTTTCTTGTTTATTGATCGTAAAGTCAAGTGGGCCACGTAAGTTCTTCCTCCATGGAAATGTTTCATTCTTACCAGGGTTTTACTAGCGATTGGAAATGTTTTGAAATCTAGGAGAGTGCTGCAAGTGTTCCCACGTATCAGTGATGTGCTATGTCTAATAGAAAATTCTTAAACTCGCTTCCTTTATGATTCGTTTTGAAACGTTCCCCACGGTCTTGGTCTTGAACTTTAATATAGTTAAAAGCAGAGTATGACTTTTGATTGCGTGTTGCGTCAAGTTAGGCCCTGTTCACACGATACCGGATTCATTTTGTATCGGATTCACAACTGTTCACATGATGACGCTACGCTTCAACACTGCTCCTAAAAATCCAATGTCTTGAAGCAGTTTCATGGCAACGTGGAATGTTGTTCGTTAATTTGCTCTTTTTCTGATTAAATGCATTCTTTGACGTGACATAACTGATATGCTGTTTTGTTTTGAAGAAGAAGGATTTTGAAATAAATTTTTAGTCAATCTAATTTTCTTTGCATTAATCTTGTGAAGCTCATCATCATCGCAAGGAACATATTTATTGTGTAACTGCGATCCACTGTCATTTTGTGTCTTGAAAAGAGTGCCAAGCTGTTTTTAAAAACCCCGAGAACGAAGCTGCCTTTTCGAAACAGGGGTTCTGAAGCGAAACCGTATCGGATTCATGCGTTCACACTAGCTCAAAAGCGATCCGATATGATTCCATTCCACATTCACAGCGGAATGGTTTGACTCCGCAAAAACGATACGGATCGTATCGGATTCAAGCGTCATCTTGTGAACAGAAGGCCTATCCGATGTGGAAAGCGATCCGATACGAAATGAATCCGGTATCGGTGAACAGGGTCTTAGAAAGTTGTAAAGCATGCAAGATTCTTTCATTCTGAAAAATAACAAAATATATTTTATTTGTAATCCACCCGGTCTTATCAATCAATCGAACTTTTTCTGTTGGCTCTTATCGACCCTTGTCTCGTATCGGTCATTGGCTCTTGAATTTCTTTAGTGAATTAGATTAATTGGATCTTTAACCAAAATTTCCTTTTTTTGTGCGACTTTTCTAGGCAGTACAAAGTTACTTTTTAAAATTTTTAGCAAACCTTTAACCTTTTCGTTGTAACTAACACAAAGTTTTTCTAATAATCAGCTTAGAGCTTATTTGGATGTTTTTCTTTTCTTGGTAACGCAAAATAAGTTTGTTTACCATGTTTAAGGAAAATCTAAGATCTCTGTTCCTGTCACTATGGCCGTAACCATTTTACATTGACCTTTAAAGCAATCAAAAACTTTCTGTTATGTTTCCTTATTATTTCCCAGTTTGCCCCGTTTTCATATTGTAGATTATTCATAGTTATTGAATTTTTCTAGGTTTCGCAAATTCTAAAAGATCTTGATGTTGGCCCAGGCCACCTTGATAATAACCAAAGATGCGGCAGTGGATATTATTGGTGGCATTATTCGGAAACAGAATATGTTGATTCGCAGAAGGCTTTTAATGTAAGTTTTTTCATTTACATTCTATGTGAGATCTGCACTATTTCATGCTCAGTTACGCGAATTTCTTCTTAACATGCTTGCCAAATTTTTTTGTTGAATCTTTGCAAAGCGGTAAAACGAAAATGTTCACCAGAACAATTAATTCCCCCAAAGGGACACGTTTATTGATACAAACATTTCAAAAGAGAAGGCGAAAGCGACTTGTATATGCAGCCTTTCATTTTTCTTAAATATAACTGTTATAAAATGCAAATTAAGTTACGCATGCCATTTTTGTTAAAATTTTTGATAACTTAAAAGATTTCCTGCTATTTTATCTGTTAAAACATAAACCATTTTATAACTATTTCGCTTAGATATTTATGCATGATCTAATTTATGTTCTATTTAGTGTTCGCTCCTCCAGTTATCTTTATCAGTCATACACACTTCATACAACTTATTCTCAATGTATTATCTTATGTTATATTCAAAAACGTACACACACCCGATAGTTTGTTAACCCTAACCCTCTTTTTACCCTTGATAACACTAGCCTCTTCCATTTTAATTGATTCCAACGACTTTCAACCGTGCCATCACGCCTCCACTATCTCCACAAAGCTAAAAACACCCACCCTTCAAAAGCTGAACATGCATTCACGAATCTTCTTGTGCTTTCTATCACGCATGTAAGCCGTTCATTTGGCTGCTATGGTGCCAATGATCTTGGCTGTTGTGTCTTTTTATCCTAAGTACAACATTTTTGATTGAGATGCTTCTGAAAGTGGCAGTGCAGTTTTATTGGAACTGTTTCTGACTGCTATTATTGTGGTAACTTTGTGATAAGAATACGCATCCACTAGCATCTCTTCACACACTGTTTGTTGAATGATGGAATTAAATAGATACAAGGGACGTGCTTCTATATGTCAAAAGAGTATCTACATTCAATGGATGCACTTGCATTTGTGACAACATAATCTCAAGTTCAAAAGGCCACACCCATGACCACACCTTTAACACATCCAATGTACTTGCAGTTGTGTTACAGATTTTGTGTTGTGTAAAGAAATCATTTAAACTATTCGATAACTTAAAGACTGATAAGAAATTGCTCACTGATGATAAATGTATAGTATAATTAAGGGTTGCCAACACAGAATTCATCCAACCAGATATGAACTCACTTGTTAAGGGGCTGAGCCCCCCTGGACCCCTCCTCCACGGCTCCACTGACACAGGGACAAGAGCCCTTTTTATTTGCCAGTGCCATTGATAAACCTATACAATTTCCTACGCATTGGCCTGGCACTATCTCTTCATGCCTTATCCATGCCAAGTGCAAGGCATCATAAATAGAGTTTAGTTGAAGATGTGAATGCTAGCAAACTATTCTCATTTTTGAAACTTGTAAACAGGAAAATGGTATGCTGTTTTTGACAAATTTATGGGTAGATAGCCGACCTTGTGAAGAATCACACGGCTCTTTTCCACTGGATTTTATGTTAATGGAAGAACCTAATGGAGGCCAAATAGACTTTTCAGAGGAAACAGGTATGAACAAACTTGTGTTGTATTGATGCTCGTATTCATTAAGATATCTTAGGAAAAAACTTTTATCAAATGCTTGCTATAGGTAATTGGAAAGTCTGCCAAGTTGGAAAGAGAACTCGAAAGAGAAATGGTATAGGTTTTTCTCGGTATCAGGAAAGAACCTGCGAGAAAGGAATAGTTGATAACCAAAAACCATAGCGCAAGAAGAATCAACTGCTTATCGTAATGGCTACGTTTTTATTTAAACTGTGACTTTGTGACAATATGCTAGGTTTCAGAATTTAGTCCGCGTGCTTTTTTAAATAGTCCAGAAGCAGGGTATTTGAACTGAAAGTACGGAACTGGAAAAGGTGTATTAAAATCAACAAACGTGATTATAGTGTTTTTAGAGGCATTCAGTCTTGCGTACTGGCGTTCTGGCTCGCTCTTGTACGAAAAACTTGTAAGAGGAGTCGCGTCTAAGCATACTGCCGGTATCACGAAAAAAAATATTTTGTCAACGTTTCTAATAACTGGCATACCCACATGGTATACGTATTGGCATGTGTATAGACAACAATAACTCGAAAAGAAATATATACAAAAGCAAGTTAAGGTGCTGGGCAAGGTAAAAACACTGGCTTTAAAATGAATTAGAGAGTCTATAAAACGTCTTACAGCTTTTTCCAATACAATTGTGAATACCCGTCCGCACATATGCTAGGTACTGTCATATATTATTTCTATGGAAAGAATCCCCCACTCGAAAGTCGATACGCTCATATGAACACGTCCCAGCTTGCAAATACATACTTAGATGCAAATATGCAAACGCACATGCACACGCACGCACACGCACACGCACACGCACACGCACACGCGCACACAATCGCTAGTTGGGTGAGTACAGGGATGACTTGGTTTCCAAATGATGCATGTCCTGTTCAACAAAAAAATTCGGGTTAAAGAAGCCCTGAACAAACCCACTTTACCATATTTCGTCCAAATACAGTATGATCGCCGATTTGGGATCGACCCAGTTTAACTTTGGCACGCAAACACTGATAGGTGAATTTAACGTGGTGGGGTTGGAGATTTATAGAAATGGCAGCTCACTTGGAGAGATTTTTTTGAAGTTTTCGTTTTATTGATGATGCCATTTTTAGAAAAATGTCCATTGATAGGAGGATTTGTCATGCGGTCACGAAAGATGATCTAGATGATAACAGATGTCGCTCTAGAAGTTGAGAAGCCTTAAACAGTTCAACGGTCTTTGTGGTCTAAAGGGGAGGGGCGAGGGGGCGAGGGAGGGGATGGGCGAGGGAGGGGGCGGGGGGCTCAAATTACGATGACTGTGACTGAGAGGGTCTTGGCTGTGAAAAAAGCCTCATCCTCTATCGTTGATCTTGTTGAAGAATTTGCAAGTCTCACAGTACTTTCCAGAACATAATTTTATCTGTTTTTTCTTTTCATATCTGCTTGGCTTTTTGTTTAACGGTTCTTGACTGCGTTCGTTTCTTGGATGTTCCTGATAAAAAAGTTTCAGTGTTGTCTTGATTCCCAATAGTCTGCCTTCATTTTTATGGCTTTGCTGACTTGCCTGTTTCACGTCTTTCAATCATGTGTAAGTGTCCGCTTTTTATATATCTCAAATAAACAAGCCTTTGATATCACCAGTACCCATCTTCTTTTGCTCCCTTTTGTATTCCAGACGCTAAAACCACCGTTTATGCATAGCTTCTCCAGGCCCAACTGATTAGTCCCATATCCATATTCTTACGCCTGTCATTTGCAAACTGGTTTTGCAGTCTTGAGACTTTGAAAAAACCACCTCGATGTTCTCTCGAAAGCCACCTACCTCTTCGAGACTTACGCAGCACGTCGTGCAAATTCACGTCGAATTATGACGTAAGCGCCCGAGATACGGAGGGTGCTCGTCCCGCAAAACCTGTCTATCAGGCACAAGTGATTTCCATAAAGCGTTTATCTCGAACATCTTTATCTCGAACATCTTTATCTCGAACATCTTTATCTTGGACATCTTTATCTCAAACATCTTCATCTCAGACATCTTTGTCTCATTAAATATAACATAGGACCCTGTTGACGAGACTCTACTCTATATCATGACAAGTCTTCGACTCCATATCATGATCTAACTTCTTTTACGCATCAAGAAGACCTTGCATGAGATTGTAGTTTTTCATAAGGTTTGACTGACACTAGGTTTGACTGTTTTTGACTGCTATTATTGTGGTAACTTTGTGATAAGAATACGCATCCACTAGCATCTCTTCACACACAGTTTGTTCAATGATGGAATTAAATAGATACAAGGGACGTGCTTCTATATGTCAAAAGAGTATCTACATTCAATGGATGCACTTGCATTTGTGACAATATAATCTCAAGTTCAAAAGGCCACACCCATGACCACACCTTTAACACATCCAATGTACTTGCAGTTGTGTTACAGATTTTGTGTTGTGTAAAGAAATCATTTAAACTATTCGATAACTTAAAGACTGATAAGAAATTGCTCACTGATTATAAATGTATAGTATAATTAAGGGTTGCCAACACAGAATTCATCCAACCAGATATGAACTCACTTGTTAAGGGGCTGAGCCCCCCTGGACCCCTCCTCCACGGCTCCACTGACACAGGGACAAGAGCCCTTTTTATTTGCCAGTGCCATTGATAAACCTATACAATTTCCTACGCATTGGCCTGGCACTATCTCTTCATGCCTTATCCATGCCAAGTGCAAGGCATCATAAATAGAGTTTAGTTGAAGATGTGAATGCTAGCAAACTATTCTCATTTTTGAAACTTGTAAACAGGAAAATGGTATGCTGTTTTTGACAAATTTATGGGTAGATAGCCGACCTTGTGAAGAATCACACGGCCCTTTTCCAGTGGCATTTATGTTAACGAAAGAACCTAATGGAGGCCAAATAGACTTTTCAGAGGAAACAGGTATGAACAAATTTGTGTTGTATTGATGCTCGTATTCATTAAGATATTTTAGGAAAAATCTTTTATCAAATGCTTGCTATAGGTAATTGGAAAGTCTGCCAAGTTGGAAAGAGAACTCGAAAGAGAAATGGTATAGGTTTTTCTCGGTATCAGGAAAGAACCTGCGAGAAAGGAATAGTTGATAACCAAAAACCATAGCGCAAGAAGAATCAACTGCTTATCGTAATGGCTACGTTTTTATTTAAACTGTGACTTTGTGACAATATGCTAGGTTTCAGAATTTAGTCCGCGTGCTTTTTTAAATAGTCCAGAAGCAGGGTATTTGAACTGAAAGTACGGAACTGGAAAAGGTGTATTAAAATCAACAAACGTGATTATAGTGTTTTTAGAGGCATTCAGTCTTGCGTACTGGCGTTCTGGCTCGCTCTTGTACGAATAACTTGTAAGAAGAGTCGCGTCTAGGCATACTGCTGGTATAACGAAAAAAAATATTTTGTCAACGTTTCTAATAACTGGCATATCCACATGGTATACGTATTGGCATGTGTATAGACAACAATAACTCGAAAAGAAATATATACAAAAGCAAGTTAAGGTGCTGGGCAAGGTAAAAACACTGGCTTTAAAATGAATTAGAGAGTCTATAAAACGTCTTACAGCTTTTTCCAATACAATTGTGAATACCCGTCCGCACATATGCTAGGTACTGTCATATATTATTTCTATGGAAAGAATCCCCCACTCGAAAGTCGATACGCTCATATGAACACGTCCCAGCTTGCAAATACATACTTAGATGCAAATATGCAAACGCACAGGCGCATGCACACGCACACACACACGCACACGCACACGCGCACACAATCGCTAGATGGGTGGGTACAGGGATTTGAAGACTTGGTTTCCAAATGATGCATGTCCAGATGTCGCTCTAGAAGTTGAGAAGCCTTAAACAGTTCAACGGTCTTTGTGGTCTAAAGGGGAGGGGCGAGGGGCGAGGGGGCGAGGGAGGAGATGGGCGAGGGAGGGGGCGGGGGGGATTCAAATTACGATGACTGTGACTGAGAGGGTCTTGGCTGTGAAAAAAGCCTCATTTTCTATCGTTGATCTTGTTGAAGAATTTGCAAGTCTCACAGTACTTTCCAGAACATAATTTTATCTGTTTTTTCTTTTCATATCTGCTTGGCTTTTTGTTTAATGGTTCTTGACTGCGTTCGTTTCTTGGATGTTCCTGATAAAAACGTTTCAGTGTTGTCTTGATTCCCAATAGTCTGCCTTCAATTTTATGGCTTTGCTGACTTGCCTGTTTCACGTCTTTCAATCATGTGTAAGTGTCCGCTTTTTATATATCTCAAATAAACAAGCCTTTGATATCACCAGTACCCATCTTCTTTTGCTCCCTTTTGTATTCCAGACGCTAAAACCACCGTTTATGCATAGCTTCTCCAGGCCCAACTGATTAGTCCCATATCCATATTCTTACGCCTGTCATTTTTAAACTGGTTTTGCAGTCTTGAGACTTTGAAAAACCACCTCGATGTTCTCTCGAAAGCCACCTACCTCTTCGAGACTTACGCAGCACGTCGTGCAAATTCACGTCGAATTATGACGTAAGCGCCCGAGATACGGAGAGTGCTCGTCCCGCAAAACCTGTCTATCAGGCACAAGTGATTTCCATAAAGCGTTTTTCACGAACATCTTTATCTCGAACATCTTTATCTCGAACATCTTTATCTCAAACATCTTTATCTCGAACATCTTTATCTCAGACATCTTTATCTCGAACATCTTTATCTCGGACATCTTTATCTCGAACATCTTTGTCTCATTGAATATAGCATAGGACCCTGTTGACGAGACTCTACTCTATATCATGACAAATCTTCGACTCCATATCATGATCTAACTCCTTTTACGCATCAAGAAGACCTTGCATGAGATTGTAGTTTTTCATAAGGTTTGACTGACACTAGGACTACAGAATTATTCTAATGTATGCAAAACTGAACAGGAAAACGGAATGGTATTCCTTACGAACCTGGTACTTGATAGTCGACCGTGTACAAACAATCCTATTGCAATGCCGTATATGGTGGTAGATGATGTGGTTGGGGAACCAGTCTTTGAATCAAGAAGAGGACCGGAGCCAGCGCAAAGAGGTATCTACCTGTATGCTTTCTTAATAATTTAATCTTAGATAAACAACAGTAAGTTATACCGAACTGCTTTAAAGCGATAGCTTTTTATGAAAGCACGGCTATAACGAAAGGGTACTTGGTGTTATCAGAGGTTGAACAAGTGCCAGCGCTTAACGATTAGAAGTTAGGAACAGAAATTTTTGGGAAATTCATGGTCATTTTGCACCGAGAAGAGTTTTTAAAGGAATAAACTATTATAGGTCTGAAAATTGCATCGTCAGTTGTGCGATGTCAAGGTTGATCAATTCAATGATGATATAACCAGGACCTTTTTGGTATGGGTGCAGTCCTTTGTAAATCCTCTATGCATCGAAAGTATGCTTCTCACTCTTCAATGCTACAACCAATGGCGTAAGGTAGGTATATAGGGACCAAAGGAAATGAAACATAGATGGGGGCCCTGTTTACAGACTGCAAGAACGACCAATCCAATCGTACAGAGCATCCGATCGCTGGCTCTAGTTGCAATCTCTATTTCTGTATATAAATTAGGGGGCCGGGATGAAGTATTCGTTGCCTTAGAATTCCAGTGCATAGTCTGTACCTATGGAAAACGTGCTCGCATGATGACCATCTCTTACTGTTGTTCCAGGCAGCAACCTTTCACCCTGGCATTTGATGCTTGGTAGAATCCTTTGCCTAAGTAACATTCTGCGCGAGTGTTAGCCTCTCCATCACGCTGTGGGCTCATGATCTTGGTTACTCGTAACAGATCAATGCTTATTGCCCACTCCAGGAGTCTTCATTTGCAGCTTCTTCAGGTGGCATTGTGTTGTTATTTCAATTCTAGTTACTGTCCTGGAAAGCGGTATCTTGTGGTAGCAAACATGCCGTCTCTAATACTTCGTCGTTCACCCGACATCGGACAATTCTGCGAGACTACCAAACGGCGACAGACGCACACGAAAACGATAATGTTAGTCTACATAGATGGTCCTTCCAGGGTTGTTTTAAGAACATCCAATGGTGGGACGAGCTTGTTTCTTCAACTGATATTTTATCCATGAAAATCGTCCTAGAAAGGGCTATCATTGTTCTATTGCTATGTTCTGTGCTTTTCCAATACACTCCTGCAACTTCAAAAATTCAAATCCTTTTTAGCTGAGTCTGTAGATGTTTGAATTACTAACTACTGATGTATACATGGAATGGGACTATCATGAAAAAGTTTGTGTATAAATGATTAAGAAATTGTAAATGTTGCGTAAGGATTCGGCACATGCATGCCAGAAAGTGTTTCTCAAGATAAAGATGTTTAGCCCTTTGGTTAAAAAACCTATTGGTGAACATTTTCTGCCCACCGTTTTGAATGAATTAAAAATTTTGTATAAAACTTTGCTCTTTGTGCCAACCAATAAAAAATTATTAATCCAAGACTCTTAAAACTTTGCCTGGTTTTATTCTAATGTAGAAAGGTTAAAATTCGAGAATTTTTCAACAACAATCTCTTTTGAAGGACGCTGGTATCCTGTTTCTGTCCAATGCACAAATCGATACACGTCCATGCACTGAAAATCGATTAGGATATCGTGTCCTTGGTGTAAATGGAGGTAATTCGAATTATTCTACAGTTTTAGTCCATTAGGCTTTAAGCGTAATACCTACTTTTATTGATCCTACTTTCTGTAGTGGAACTTCTTATCCGTTTGAATTTCAAATATAAGTAAGAATATTGGCCTTCTTAGCAAGGAAATGTCTATCAAGTAATTTTTCCTGTCTGGTGGTTGAATTAAGACCTTTTTGACAGATTGGCATGTCGATTGGTCGTAATATAACCAAATCTCCAGCGAAAGGATCTCGTCATTACACATCGAAGGGTGGGCAGAGCAGCAAAAAGTGTTCCGTATCCTCGATACAATCATAATTAGATTCCATTGAATTTCTTTGTAAATTTGAGCTTGACGATGGGATTTGAATTTGCCGAGTCGAACCCTAAGTTGCTTTATAAGAGATGAAAGTAGAAAGGAGATGAAATTAGTGATTGCGATAGCAGTGTCCTTTCTTGATTTAGTGATTGCCGTGCGCTTTTTATTTTTATCAGAAGACGGGACACTGTATATGGCTGGAAAGCAAGTCATTTTGCATGTTCCTTTTTTGTTGGTCTTTCTCGGAGTTGTGGACCATCGCCATGCTGTTCTTGCTTTGAATCCTGTCTGAAACAGGGTTTTATAAGAAGCTATGCAAATCTGATATGTGTTGATATGAATCACTTGGTCTACAACAATTGTTTGTTTGTACACTAATAGCTTCGAACGCCTAATTGTTTTTCACAACTGTATTTGTCGTTGTCAATGTTCCTTGCTAGCTTTGTTGTATTTTGATCATTGATTGGCTGTGCATGATGCATACCCGGCTTTGCCTAAATGTGTCGAGTTCTCTTTGATTTTGGGGCCAGGTATCAGTTGGTTTGAGAGGCTAAGAGCCCATGTCACGGTCCATAAATCGCTTGCAAGCCTAAAACGAACTAGTGCCCAATTTACAATAGATTTCTCAAGGAATTGAACCTTTTTTATAGCTTTTCCAGTGATTTAAATCTGTCGAGTAAGTTTGAACTCGAAGTATCAGTCACTATTCGAGGGAGGTCTAGATAACCATAAATTAGACGGGAGGTCTAGATAACATAGTCATAGTGAGACGGGCGTTTATTCGCCTCTCTGCATTTCTACTCCTCGTTTTGCTTCGGGTGAATGTTTTCGTTTTACCAATTTCCATCTGCTCATCCATTTGCCTGGCTACGTACGAATTAAATGCAAGCAACAAATAGCATTATAATGCAACGTCAATTGGGGCGTTGCTCTGATTCGAGACAATATCGCCCTTCTTTCGTTATTAACAATCTTACTCAAAAGCAGACAGCCTACAAAGATGCTATTTGATCTTAAAAGGATGGTGGCCTTGTATTCCTATCCAGCGTTGCCATAGACACTCGCCCGTGTGTTGCAAACGATTATCCCGTGTTCTATCAAGATAACTTCCCTGGTCGATTTGGTGGCTTCCCATCTCTCTTGAGAACTGGCTTTGGACGAAATATTGTTGGTCCAGTGATTGCAAAATCAGGTAAGGACGAGTCGATAAACTAAATTGAATTTATCTACACAGTAGCGGAAGACATGGAACATAGTTTGGCCGTTGTATCAAGGGTGATAAATGAAGTGCAGTGCATCATGAGAAACTGCAGTGAAATCATGTGGTGAAATTTTCGCTGTCGTTACAGTTTAAGAATAGAACTCGAAAAAATATAAAAATAAGCCAATAAATTATCTGAAACATTTAATGCAAAATTTTTGGCCTGCGCATAACTGCTCTACGAAAACCAGCTTTGTTTGATGGAAAGTTTTGCACAAAACGCAGTAAATATATGCAGTGTCTCTGATCGAATACATGCAGTAATAGTCCCAAGGCGCTGCTAAGCCCTTTGAGAATATAGATAGTCAATTGGACACAACGCTGAGTTTGTTAAGAAGATCGTAGGTGTCAGACCTTTCTGTGGCCAGTGTTATACTATATCTGATTGGCATATACACTGATTCTGAGAATAAAAAGGCATGCAGGGTTTTTATATAGATAAATAGATATATAGATAAATAGAGGTAACTTGAGGGAGCAACGTATCTTGATGTATTTGCGGATCCTCTCGGTACTGAATTTTTTCCTACAAAGATATTTTGTATCGAGAATGTATGACATGTCTGAATGTCATTGCGTGAACAAGCAAGGCCGTAATTCTACTTAACGCATGTTTTGAGGTAATTAGCCATCAACTCATGTAATTCAATGAAGTTCCGTAGCCGCTAGTTCCTTGGTCATTTCCTAGGCAGGCAAGCAAGCATATTTCCATTGGTTAACTGCGGGTTAACATACGTTAGCTGTGCTGTCTCGTTTTCCGTCGTGTCTTCGCCGCTGTATCGTGTTTCCAGAGAGCTATTTTTGCGTTCGCTGAAAGAACAAGGCATAAACATTCTGAATCTAGGAATTTTCTGATTCGCTGCCAACGCATATATTCAGGATTGAACCGCTGACATTAGGAGCAGCAATGTTCTCAACTTTGATATGTGATGCAAACCTAGAAGGAGACATAATGGCCGTGAACATTTGAATTTTTTGTTGTTTATTAGCTACATACTTTAGGGCATTTATCCTCATAAAACTGCATTGCTAAGGAAGTATTAATCAGAAGTCAAAAGCAGGGGGCTCCTTGCCTGTGTCACAGACCATCACGCCCAAAGAGGAGAGTCTATCACCACCATCGCCCCCTCGTTGGAGGATCTGACACAGGCTTAGTTGTCTTATTGTTCAGCAAGATCGCAGTTGTAACTTCCTCGCTATTTTCACCTTTTATTGAGGAAGTGTTTGTGTGCAGTTGTCAGATATTGTAGAAATCATAGAATTTGCTAGATAAAATCTTTAGCTGCATTACTTTTGAAGAGAAGAGGTGTTTGGGGCATTTTTGAGAGTGCATGTACAGTTTTGGTATTTTCATGGTTATTTTTGCTGTTGTTGTTATCTTGAAAACAACGCTTGTGAATACAATTTATTCCAAATGATTCTTTTAAAAAAGCTTGTATTACAGGCCGCAAAATATACTAGCCAACGTCAATGGCAAGCAGCTAATACACTTGTCTCTTGACAGTGCAAGCGTCATGCTTCACACAGTCCCTAATGATTAATGACACTTATATGACACAGTCCATTCAACTACATGACATACAATACATGAACATCTCTCAACACTCCTTGCCATCGTCAACCCTTCTTCGTTACTCTTATCTTTAGCAAGTCGTATTCACTACCAAAGATCACACATCTTTTTTATAAAAGTTTAAGGTTTCGTCCTTCTATAAAGAAAGAAAATACTCTTTTGGTACAATTCAAATATTTTTTAACCCCAGTTTATGTCACAAGTTAGTTACATGCTAACCCTTCTTTTTTAAAGCAAGTTCCTTTTCAATCTCTCTCAGACCTTGTCTTCATAATCTACATTTCACGAAAATTTCTCTTAACAGTGCTTCCTCAAAAATCATCTGATTCTCTTTGCTTCTCATCGAGAAACATAATATTACTAGCCAAGCCATATTAGTCTCCTTTCACCATTACATCAAGAACTTTAATATAACTAACCAAGCCATTGTCTTCTTTCACCATTCCACCTCATGGAAACTTCTCTGACCTTTCCTGCATCGTACACTTCTACTACCGCAATGTTTTAAATTAACGCACATGCATCTATCAAAATCTATTTTCTTAGGAACCCTCCATACCTTCAATTCGAGGCATGTGGCAACATTTTGGAATTTCGATATTGTTGTGTGAAAAAATTGAAAATGAAGAAACCTCGGCCATTTGCGTTGTCGAGATTAACAAAGCCATAGGAGTAATACTATTTTTCTACTTTCAAGGAAAGTTTTACCAAGAAATCATGTAGTAGAATATCTACGATCTAAAAGGATTTCATAGCAGAGGGTCATATGTGGTCTATTTCTCACCTTCCCTTCACGTTTCAAAACATTCCTTTAATGGGCAAAAACTTTGATGCTATTGGGTCAATTTGAAACATTGTAGTTTGATTAAATTCCCTTTATAAGTGCAATTTGACCAACTTCATTTTACCAGATTTCTATTTCATTTGGGAAATGCAGAGATTTTCAACATACTTTTTTATCTTAAGGACGGTGGATTAGTGTTTATGTCTAGTATTCAAATAGACACTCGTCCATGTAAAGGAGAACCGATTGTGTACGCTAGGTGGGATGGACACTTTGTCACAACAGTGCCGTTTTTTCGAATGACAGAGACAGAAGCTCCTGTTTTTCAAACCACAGTCGCCCCAGATGAAGGTAAATCTCCTTGTATACTTCAGCTGTGATTCTTATAATGATTATTAGATGTTGCCTCCGCAGAGGTCACAATACATAAGTTTCGTTTCGTGCTTCGCTTTATAAATAGCTGAATAGGCGTTGACGGAAAATAAGCGTTGACGAAAAACTTTTTGTTATGTTAAAAATGTACGTTACTTTTCAAAAGCCCGTGGTTCGAGAGCGCCCTGCAACCAATCTTGGAGCAGCGTTACGAGAAGCATTATATAGATTATATAGAAGGCTTACTGCTGAAGAAACTCATACGAGCAGCTTAAAGACAACAGGTCACTTGACAGTGGATTTTGCGCGTTAGCAGCTATTGACAGTTCAACTGAATGAGCAAAGTATGAATGTTTCAGAGTTGTTACCAGGGTTTTATGTAAACGATCACCTTTATAAAGCTACATCTTTTATGCAATATAGATGCTTTCTCTGCAAAGGCTAAGGTTCCTGTATTAACCCATCTGGTTTTGTTAATCAAGTTTGATGGGATCTCTTTATGTGTGTTGTTTCGCCCATAGCGCAACGTCTTTAAACAGATCAGTAGGTAAAATGAATCAGGTAGCAAATCGTATGCTTCCACACACTGGGCTTCCGTACTCTCATACCAAACAACTTGTACATTTGTCTCCTAGCATTCCAAATGTCATGCTAGGCACAATTCATATTGATCCATTTTTCTTCACTGAATCACGTACAGTACCTGGAGGGTTCTGAAAACTCTTGCTATCGTCAACCTTTCTTCATTACTCTTATCTTTAGCAAGTCGTATTCACTACCAGAAATCACGCATCTTCTATATGAAGATTATAGCCTTGTCCTTCTATATAGAAACAAAATACTGTTCTGGTGCAATTTATGATTCATTGTCTTTTGTCCCATTTTGTATTCAATGTGCTCCAGTGAATTCACCAGTGTCCATTTGTTGTTTCGCAAACTATTGCTCGAATGTGTCACAAGTTAGCTGCATACTAATCCTGTCTTTTTGAGAGGAAGTTCTATTTCAGTATCTCTAAGACCCTGTTTTCGAAAACTACATTTCACGAATATATTTCTCTTAACAGTGCCACCTCAAAAAACCATCTGATACTCATTTGCTTCTCATCAAGAACCAAAGTATGACTAACCAAGCTATATAAGTCTTCTTTCACCATTCCACCTCAAGGAAACTTCTCTGACCTTACCTGCATCGTACACTTCTACCACCGCAGTGTTAAAAATAGATGCACGTGCATCTATCCAAATCTATTTATATAGGAACCTTTCATACATTTATAAAGAGGCATTTTGGAATTTTGACATTAGCAACAAATAGCATTATTATGCAACGTCAATTGGGGCGTCACTCTGATTCGAGACAATATCGCCCTTCTTTCGTTATTAACAATCTTTCTCAAAAGCAGACAGCCTATAAAAACACTGTTTGATCTTTAAAAGGATGGTGGCTTGGTATTCCTGTCCAGTGTGGCCATAGACACTCGCCCGTGTGCTGCAGCCCATATGCCCAGATACTATCAAGAAGTGGCTTACTTTAGAACTGGCTTTGGACGAAATATTGCTGCTCCAGTGATGGCAAAATCAGGTAAGGACGAATGGATAAACCAAATTGGATATTTAGACAGTGGTGGGAGACATGAAACATAGTGTGGCCGTTGTATCAAGGGTGATAAATGCAGTACAGTGCATCATGAAAACTTTCAGTAAAATATCTGCTCTGCAATAACCAACTTTCTTTAGTGGAAAGTTCTGCACAAAACGCAGTAAATATATGCCGCGCCTCTGTTAGAATAGTCCCAAGGCGCTGCTAAGCCCTTTGAGAATATAGATAGTCAATTGGACACGACGCTGAGTTTGTTAAGAAGATCGTAGGTGTCAGACCTTTCTGTGGCCAGTGTTATACTATATCTGATTGGCATATACACTGATTCTGGGAATAAAAAGGCATGCAGGGTTTTTACTATAGATAAATAGAGGTAACTTGAGGGAACAACGTATTTTGATTTATTTGCGGATCTTCTCGGTACTGAATTTTTTCCTACAAAGATATTTTGTATCGAGAATGTATGACATGTCTGAATGTCATTGCGTGAACAAGCAAGGCCGTAATTCTACTTAACGCATGTTTTGAGGTAATTAGCCATCAACTCATGCCATCAACTGACGTCAGTTTTCAAGGTCAAAATCAATCATCCCCCCCCCCCCCCCCCCGGAACAATGTTGGTTTACTATGAAACGGGTTAGGATTTAGGAAGCACTTTCTTTTGCGCTTCTTTTATGATATTTCTCTAAATTATCAACATTGTTTTAAGGGAAGGGGGTGGAAGTAGTAATTTTTTTCGGAAAAGGAATGAAAGATATAAAATGTAATGCAAATTGCTGCGTGTTCCAAGTACTTTTGGCAGGCATTGTAGTTTTGCTTGCTCTTGCACAGGCATCAAAACGCTGCCAAGTTTGCACTTTCGTCTGAACCCCCAACTTGATCGTTGCCACATTGTGCACTAGCAAATGTGCGGCAATGTATCGTTGCAAATACCACACAACCTATCAGTCGTGGTTTAGCCCGAGTTTGTTGCTTTTCTAACTCCTTATCGCATCTCATGGTTTCAGCTATGATAGCACTGACACTAATCGGGAACGAATTACAAATCACTTCAGTTTGTTTCCATTACATTTCATTTTTGTTATGTGTATTACGAATGTTGTTTCGCATAACCATACCAGAATGTGGCACAAGTTAGTTTCACACTAACCCTTTCTTTTTTAAAGCAAGTTCCTCACCAGTCTCTCTCAGAGCCTTTCTCCAAAATTACATTTCACGAATATTTCTCTTAACAGTGCTTCCTCAAAAAATCATCTGATTCTCTTTGCTTCTCATCGAGAAACATAATATTACTAGCCAAGCCATATTAGTCTCCTTTCACCATTACATCAAGAACTTTAATATAACTAACCAAGCCACTGTCTTCTTTCACCATTACATCAAGAACTTTAATATAAATAACCAAGCCATTGTCTTCTTTCACCATTCCACCTCATGGAAACTTCTCTGACCTTTCCTGCACCGTACACTTCTACTATTGCAATGTTTTAAATAAACGCACGTGCATCTATCAAAATCTCGTTTCTTAGGAACCCTCCATGCATTCATTAAGAGGCATGTGGCAACATTTTGGAATTTCGATATTGTTGTGTGAAAAAGTTGAAAATGAAGAAACCTCGGCCATTTGCGTTGTCGAGATAAACAAAGCATAGGAGTAATACTATTTTTTTACTTTCAAGGAAAGTTTTACCAAGAAATCATGTAGTAGAATATCTACGATCTAAAAGGATGTCGTAGCAGAGGGTCATATGTGGTCTATTTCTCACCTTCCTTTCACGTTTCAAAACATTCCTTTAATGGGCAAAAACTTTGATGCTATTGGGTCAATTTGAAACATTGTAGTTTGATAAACTTCGTTTTCTCTGATTGCTGTCACATTTGGCTAATGTAGAAATTTGAAGAGAGCTTTATCGTCATCTCAAGGATGGTGGATTAGTGTTTATGTCTAGTGTTCAAATAGACACTCGTCCCTGTGGAGAAGATCTGTACGGCGAGTACAGTGGAGACTTTGCCACAGAACTACCGTTTGTTGAAACGACAGCAGCCACGTTTAATTATTTTCAAACCACAGTCGCCCCAGATGAAGGTAAATCTCCTTGTATACTTCAGCTGTGATTCTTATAATGATTATCAGATGTTACCTCCGCAGAGGTCACAGTACGACAGCTTCTTTCGTGCTTCGCTTTATAAATAGCTGAATATTTGAGCTTAGTATACATGCCATTCGTTTGGATCGATGTGTTGCTGCAAGCGGTTTTAGAAAAATTGTCAAATAAATCCAAACTTCAATAATTTTCAGTTTCAGTAAGTTTGTGTCCTGTTATGAAGAGTATCTTCTTCTTTCGTTTTGAAGCATCGTTGGTCATACAAACTAGAGTACTAAAATAGTTCATTTTACAGTTGACTGTGGCGATCAGCTGATCAAATGAATCTTGTCACTCATTTTCC